TTCCAGATTGTTTAAATTAATACATATTTATTTTGTTTTAGGCTATCAGACCGCTACGAAATATAGATAATGCATACAAGCACAAGATTCTAACGAATCTGCATATTAGATTTAACAAATTTCCGGATACATATTCTTTTGTTCTTCCTCTAAAGTCAGAAGATTATGACATAACAAATGAGCTGAAAGATATTACGAACATTGACTTAAGTGATTGTCTTGATAATGTTACAGTGGAAGGAAACGATGTGTACTTTCAAATACAAAGAGATAAATATGTAAAGAGAATATTAGAAAGCAATGTTGACGGTGTTGCACCACCATTAGCTGTAGATAGTAATAAAAATGTTATAGTAGAATTCAGTTCACCGAACATAGCTAAACCTTTCCATTTGGGGCATCTACGATCAACAGTTGTAGGGAACTGTATTGCTAATCTCAAAAGCTTCGTACAAAATCAAGTTACAAGGATAAATTATTTGGGAGACTGGGGCACGCAATTCGGTTACATACATGTAGGGATGGAATTGACGAACGTTGATAACATAGAAGTGCAAAAGGATCCTATTAAAATATTGTACAATGCCTACGTTAATGCTAATAAAATTGCTAATGACGATCCAGGTTTGCATGAGCGAGCCAAAGAGATATTTACACGATTAGAATTAGGAGACGATAAGATTTATGAGAACTGGCAAAAAATTAAACAGTTTACTACTGTGGAGTTGGAGAATACTTATAAAAGATTGGGCATAGCGTTTGACAAATATGATTGGGAATCCATGTACACTGCAAAAAATATAAATAGGATAATTAAGTTGATGGACGAAATGAATGTATTAACGTTAGATGATCTTAATAGGAAAGTAGTTTTTTTAAACGAAGAGAAAGCTGTTCCAATCATAAAAAGTGACGGCTCAACTTTGTATATAAGTCGAGATATTGCTGCTGCTATTGATAGGTTCGAGAAATATAAATTTGATGCTATGTACTACGTCGTGGACTATAGTCAGACCGAACACTTCTCCAACTTGATTCAAATATTGAGTAAAATGAAATTACCGTGGGCAGATAGATTGAGGCATGTCAAGTTTGGGAGAGTAGAGGGTATGAGTACCAGAAAAGGTACAGCCGTATTTTTAGAGGATATTTTAAACGAAGCAAAGGAACTTATGGGACAAAAACAAATATTAACAACGAGTAAGCTTGTAATGAAAAAAGTATGAGGTGGTTAGTACGATATTTTTAAGACACATCATTTCATTCTAGCGACTAAAGTTCATTTGGATGAAATAGAAGGAACATCTGATATTTTGGGTGTTTCCGGTATGATCGTTCAGAACTTGAAACAAAACAGAATGAATAATTATAAATTCAGTCTGGAGTCCATGCTTGACGTAAGTTCTAAGGATGATCCGAGATTTTTATTTAGTTCGAGAAATTAATAAATCTTTTGATATCAGATGAAAGGTGATTCTGGAATAAAGTTACAATATGTACACTGCCGTTTATGTAGTTTAGAAGAATTATCTGGCGCTACGCTGGTAACAGAATGTGATCCAAGCCTTTTGAAGGAACCAATAATAGATCATTTAATTATCTTGATTAGTCGATTCGATGAAATTGTACTGGAATCTCATAATGAATTAGAACCGTGTACATTAACAGTGTATTTATTTCACTTATGGTCAGTATGAATATAATTTTAACTTTATGCAGGTTTTTATAATGTACGTATTTTCTCTTCAGCAAAACTATCAATATCGTTTGGCGTGATCTGAGGGTAAAGGATGAACCGAGTGATTTAGCAAATCAAAGGCTAATGTTGTTTCATGTAGCAAAAGTTATTCTTGCTCAGGGAATGAGATTACTTGGCTTAATACCTTTGGAAAAGATGTGAAATCATTAAATTTTGATAATAAATCATATACTTAAAAAAAATTAACATAACATATAATTGTCAGCCACACTATCAATCCTTGATTTATGAATCTTTATTTGATAAATAATGAATTTACACATTTTTAATTAATAATTTTATTAACTACTTGCTGTTTGTTGTATCTTTCCTATATCATATTCACCTTGCTGTAATATACATTTTATCCTGAGATGTGTAACGAATACTTTACATAAATCTATGTGAATTTAATATGGAAAACTTCAACATAAAAAGAAGGTCAATAGGCAAATTAACGTTTCTTCCAAGTAAATCTCCTACGAGCTCCTTCCTGACCCCACTTCTTCCTCTCGCGTTTCCTCCAGTCGACAGTTAGAAGGCCAGCTAACGAAAACAAGTTCATAAATACAATTAATAAATCTTTACTTCTATTAATATGAAAGCTATTATACATATGTATTGTACATGTACACGTGTACAC